CTGGGGCTACGGACGTTTCTAGAATGGCCACCATATGTGCTCATAGGGTTCTCACTATCAAGATTTGAAATACTTGATACCCTCGTCATGATTCTACCATTCTAAGGACATATATCAATATATACAATGATGATTTACGCGATATAGTATAAAATGCCTTTTATTGATCAATGAACATTATTACAAAGAGTCAATTCTACAATAATTGATTGGCTCTAGGGCACCTACTCTAACACATCCCATGCATTATAAAACTACACTTGTCTACATGTGCCTCTAGTACATTTTCAACCTTTGTTAATCGAACAAGCCAAACTACTAGTTAAGTCTTCCCCAACACCATTAAGGAAAAACTCACATGCGACTTAGCCTCCCACGAATAACGTATACCCTTCGTTGATCGAAAAGGTTATGACAATCTATGGTTTGACTAGGCCCGTGGTGTTGGAAGGCATTTATCATAGACTTAATATCCTTTTAGTGAGTATTTTTCTTTTGCTTTTGGTCTCATCATTTTATTATCTTTATTAATATGTTATATCCATAACATTCACCCTTAGCATGCCAACTGTTAGGATAGGTGCACTAGAGCCAATAATTTTTGAACATTTGTAATAATATTATTGAATATCAATGAAGGCATTACTTCTATATCATGACATTCATTTATATACTTGTATATATATTGATATATGTCCTTAAAAGGATTGAACCATGACAAGGGAATTAAGTGCTTTAAATCTTAATTGGTAGAACCCTATGATCACATATGGTGGCCATTCTAGAACTATCTGTAACCCTAGTATTAATCTGACCAAGGACACAGATTATATGATAAGGCTATCATAACGTTAAGCAACCCTACCAAAAGGTAGTAACAGTTCTCATATGCCAAGGTTGTTAAGTGACAACCTGGTGCGACGCATGGGTGCTTGTTAATGGCAAGTTTATTGAACCTACCCATTAGAGGATTCCACACAAGATGGTAACACTAGTGTCTGTGGAATATATCCTCCAACGGATAGTGGTGCATGTGGTCCCTCGACTTGAGATCACTAAAGCACCATGTGTAATTATTGATGTAATTTGAAACTAGCCTAACGTAATCCTATTTAGGGTTATTAGTACGGTAGTCATTGGTCACATCGAGAAGTACATTATGGCTATGGTGGATCAACAAAGGATTCATCATTCTTGGTTACAGGAGAAATTATCTCGCTGAGATATTTGGTAAGGAACCACAACCGCAAAATCTATAGCCACAGTGAAATCGAGTTAGCACTCAAACCTAATTTATATGGTCGTTGATTCGACAACCGAATATAAACATATCAATGTACATTCATTGAAGTTAACACTACTTATGTACTTCAAACCTTGATGAGATAAATAATGATGAAAGGATTTGAATTGCACAGTAACCAAATTGTTGAAAGGTAGCTACTTCGTTGAATATTTATTTGTTGGATAATCATGATGCCTTGTTAGAGGTCAATCTTGACTGGTGTACGGAACACTAATTAGTTGATGCTTAATTATAAATCTAGTCACTGCCAATATAATATAAAGCCTATGGGTCATAATATTAAAGGTAGTTTTATTGAGAAAGACGTTTTGGGAATTACAAGGTGGTGTTTTGAACTTTTTGCCGAGCCATAAAATGGAGCAAGGTCTACTGATTTGAATTGTTTAGTTTGTTTACAAATTGGATAAGGACTAAACTACAAATTTTGCAAGTTTAGGGACCAAAGTGAAATTCTACTAAATTAAAAGGGGTGCACTAATTTACATGTTAAATTTAAATTTGAGTTTTAATTGATATTCCATGTTTGATTGATGTCTAAATATGCATGGTGTTTGGTACTTGGTCACCGACCTTAGGTTTATTATTTATTATGGGATGAATGCTTTTAATTTTTATAATTATTAAATAGGGCCTACGTGTCTTGCCTATCTCTTTACTCTCAATGTATTCTCTTCTCATCTAAATCCTCTCAAATATAACTCGAGGTTTCTTTTTATTTAATGTAATTTAGAATAGGGTTATATCATTACTGTAAAGAAGATGGAGCGAAGGCGTGAAGCGAGTTCCATAGACTTCAATGAAGTTTTGTAATAAATTGCATGAACCTAGGTTGACCTACCAATTCCTCAAAGCTTGGGGAATTTAGTTTTAGATTGGCCATGTACTGAAACATTTATTTTTATCTTAGAAAGCATGCTAAGGTTGAATGCTTTAACATGCCGGACTATAACATGCTAAAAAAATAATAAAATTGGTGAGACAATAAAATCAAGAACCCTCGATTAAGATATTAAGTCACAAATAACAATACGCCTTCCATCACTATGGGATTAATCAAACCACTATTCTTTGTGGCCTTGTTCGCCTCCGCGAAGGGACACTTCTACCAATGGAAGGTTAATTATTCATTGGAACTTTTCCTTAATAGTGATGGGTTCGACTTAACTAGGTGTATTTTGCTTGTTCGCCTCTGCGAAGGTTGATAAATACACTAGAGGCATAGTAGAGTAGTGCACTTAAAGATGCACAAGAGGGCATGTAGTGTCCAACTCACTAATCCGAAAGTTACACTTGAGGATAATGGTTGATGTCGTTGGATTGTGTAATCGATTTGTTGGCTCGATTTACATTTGAGTTTAAAAGTTAGTGCTATTAGATGGTGTAGATTAAAGTTTGTTGACCTACCTAATCATCCTATTTTAATTTGTTCACCCATGTGAAGGTTGAAATAGAAATGATGGGATTTCGGCCCATTAAGAAGACCAACGGGGCCTTCCCGAGTTTAATTGTGAGGGCTATTGGGCTTGAGTAAAATAGTGGGAGCAATTGATTAATAAAATGCCTTATTAATTAATATAGTATTAACTCTATTTAAATTTTGCATTTGTAGATTCACTTTCATTATGACTTTATCTACCCTATTGTAGGGATTTCTACTGTAACAAGCACAAAATAAAAAATAAAAAATAAAAAAATTGCTATGAGAGAGTCTTGTTACCCAAGATCACGATCCAATAACTATAAGCACAATATAATTAAACCATACAAGGTTAGGCATTATACCTTCATTGGCAGCTCCTTCGGATGTCTTCAAGATATCTCTATCGACCCAAAGTAAGATCGAGCTCGACAGTATCCACACAAAAGTAGGTCGGGATCACTCTTGGATTGATTACTAGATCAAGCCAAGAGCATAAGAGGAGTGGCAGATTTGAGAGAGAAATTCTCTCTAGGGTTCATTACAAGGAAAAAGGTATTTCTTGATAGAAAATTTGACAGAATTTCTTGATTGTTTTTAAAAATAGTCAAATCTTTTCCTTGACAACTTCTTGACCGTTTTTCAACTGTAAAAAATTCTAGCAAATCCTTCACTGTTATTAACTGTTAAGGATTTTGTAAAAAATAAGTTGTTCAATTTCATTCATTGACTGTTATATGCTTAATCCTTGACACTGTTTAACTATCAAGGATTAAGTCAAAAAAAACAAAGGAGGTAGTCACCTCAATTCAATTCTAGTGTTGTGTTGAAAAAAAAAAAAAAAAAAAAAAAAAACAAACAGAACTCTAATTTGGCCAAGGCTTCCCACACTAAAATTTTGCTAAGGCAATTTCTTTACGCCCAAAACACCAAAGTTCACTGTCAAAACCCATTTTCCCCCAAATTTCGACCAAGTCAAGAAAAAAACTTCCGCCAAAACCCAAGTCTCCTCCACTAAATTAATCAGATCTCGTAAACCCTAAATCTCCTCCACTAAATCGCCCAAGTCTCTTCCACTAGATCGCACAAATCTCTTCCATCACTTGTTTCTTCAGTTCCCGGTAGCAGCAATAAACAATGAAGTCGTCACTTCGCCACCTCCGCCGCCACAAACCATCACCCGTAAGAATGTTGTTTTCTTCCTTGGATGAACATGTCTTCTGCGTTTGTTTTTATGTTAATAAACATTACAGTTATTCCATCATTATAGTCAAAGGGAAAATTTTGGGTTTTACTTTGGACGAAAAGATGCTTGGTTTTGTTTTTTGTTTTATTTTTGGTTTTTTATGAGTGCTGAGGATTGTGGATAGAAGGAAAAACAATATTGGATTAGTTGTGTCTGAGGCGAATATTTATTCTCATAAGAATCAAAAGCTAATCATCTTTACCTGGTCTAAGATTGATACTTGGAAATGAATTGACATTGGTTTATCTATTCTACTGGGATTTGTGATCCATAAATATACTATTCTTGTAGAATGCTTTCTTTGTTATTAGTTTGAAAAGAAGTGTTTAAGTTGAGATAATTCTTTCGAAGTGTGCCTATGCTAGTTATTTTTCTTTTTTTGGTTCTGTAGTTTAGACTTTTAGTATCCATACAAACTGTATTCCTCTGTATAAAAGTGGCAATGTTGGTGCTGACATAAATTATTTCTTCTTGAAGATGCATTGATGGGCATTAAGGATTTATTTCAAAAGCATCCAGGACAGTTAAGGTTGCACAGATATGCCGCTATAGAAAAGTTGCGTGAATGTATCAGTGATGATGACAAAGTTCTCCGAGAAATGTTATATCAATTATTTAAGACTCTGATATTTCCTGGGTGCAAAGAGGAAACTCTTCACTTCAGTTTTTTGTTTGAACTCTCAAATTTGGTCAGGTCGCTACTTAGTCACAATTACGTCCATGGTAATACTCATTGAGTTATGCTTCTGGACACCCAAATGGCACCATAATGTATCTTCTACTTTCAAGGTTTATATTTTTTTACAGCTCAGGTAGGTGTTATTATCTTTAAAAATTTTCTATTGAACAAGAATTTACACATAATTCAATGTGTTATTCTATGCAGCTGATAAACTTGAAAGCTTCTTAAAGTAGTTTCCTGTTTTTCGAAATGCTTTTTTGGTTGGGAGTGCAGCTGACTTCTTTGTTATTGAACTGACAAACCTGGTAGAGTTGATAAATTTTTTATTCAATGCATAGCAAAATATGGTTAGGGTTTGTCAGTCGGGACCCTTTTAATGGTCAAACCTTATTTAAGTTTTATCCCAACACCAGCTATTTGTGAGGAGTTGGTATATAATTGCTATGTTACATTCATATGGTGTTGCAACTCCGCTGTTTTTCAGCTTCAAAAGTTGAAGGTGGAGCCTGTCCTTTTGCATCACCTTTCACAGCTTAGAGTTCTCCAAGGTAAATTGTTTCAACTCCTTGTGAGGTTGAGATGTGAGATATTGTCTACTGATCGTAATCAGTTTCAACTGCATTTAATATGTTATGACTTATGCAGGGGTGGAACTTAGGATGGCCACAAGTACAAGGTTAAAGACATGTTTGTATAGCTTCACTTCTCCTGGTGGTCCTATGTATCCAACAAGAGCTGTTCGTCATGCAACCTGGGATGCTTTGGACTTTCTCTTCCCTGTGAGTGTATTCTGTTTATTGTCCATCGCATGTATATATACCCTGTGTTACACTTTCTATGTGATTGCAATTCTTTACATTACAGTTATTCCAAGCATCTTTAACTTTGTACTATCTTGATCCCTTGAGGGGAGATATTGGGCAAGATTTACAGGAAGTAGTGCAAAAGTTAATAATTCTACTTACTGTCATTTTTAATGCTCTATATAATATCAAATAATGTATGTTAATTTCAGAAGTTGTTTTAACTTTCATAGTAGTATCTTAATCCCTTCTGCCCGTAAGATTTCCAAAAAAAGGGATAATATCTCATGGCAAAAAGTATTGGTGCCAATTAATTTTCAGTTTTAATATTGTTTTACCTTTTGGATATTAATGGTTATTCCGAATTAATTTTGTGTAGGGACTCATTCAACTGGGAAGCATTGAATGTGGGTTTTATATAATGAGATACATGAGATATAGTTGAGAATGGGTTGACATTACTAAAAAACAATGTAAATTTTTTTTTTTCTCACAGTTGTGAATAATAAGATATAGTTTATATTTGTTGGTTAGTCTTTTTGTGTTTACTTTTATAGTTCATGGGGAAAGAAATATACGAAGATGCGGAGGTCGATGAGGTCAGAGGAGAATGGGTGATGTTCGTATCAAACTTTTTTTTAATTATTGTTGTTTCAGTGATGTCAGGGCCAATGAGGGCAATAACTATGTATATATGTATCAAACTTCTCATTACTGAATTGATTACCTTTCATTGTCGTTTATGCAAATTGTAAAAACTAAAAACTATACTGGTGCTCAATTTTGTTTACTTAGAGCAACAGTAATATATGTATCATTCAATTAATTGTTCAATGTCCCATTACATATTTTTGAATGGTGATAATTGTTGGAAGGATAAATATTATGAAGCATTTCATTCGACTATTCTATAATTTAACTCGTAATAATAAAGAAATTTTACAAATAAAAAAAAATTAACAAAAGAATCCTTGACAGTTTTTGGATTTTGGTTAAAATTCTGTTAAATCTTTGACAGTTATTAAACTGTCAAGAGGTCCTTGACAGATCGAAAACTGTCATACACCTTTCTTGATAGGGGTTACAATGATAGTTCAGAAATTGTCATTGTACCCCTTTCTTGACAGGTATTATTTGTCAAGAAAGCCATTTTTCCTTGTGGTTGCGGTCAGGGTTCTGTGTTGGGGAGGTTTAGTTTAAATTAAACTAAAACTTTGCTCTCAAAAGTTGCAAAATCAACTTATCAAAAATCAAAACTCAAGTTCCCTTTTTATAGTCCAATCCATAGTAGGAATTTAATTAGGATTGTGAATCATCAAATTCCTTTTTAATTTGGATTGCAACTCTAGAAGGACAGAGATATTCTTTTAATAAATATGTTTCCCAATTACATAAATATTCATATTTATTTAATTTCTATATAAATACATATTGCTAATTAAATAAATATCACTATTTATTTAATCATATATATTTATATATACATATTTAATTAATGGGTTTTAATATATTAAATTAAATTAAATATATTCCTCCATATTAATTAATATTAGTATGATTCTAATTTTGCTAAAATTCCTTCAATATAAATTGAATATTGGCATCAACCCTAGCAAAATTACCAAAATAACTTTTTCACCCAAAAGGACTAAAATACCCTTTTCCTCCCAAATTACGGAAATACCCTTTTTGCCCAAAGGACGAAAATGCCCTTCTAATCCATTTTCTCTCTTAACTACTTTTTATGTTTGTGACCCAAAGGCTCTTTATTTTGTTGGCAGTGTCCCAATAATTAATTAAGCATCAACCAATTAGTGTTCCGTACACCAATCATGATTGACCTCTAACAAGGCATCATGATTACCCATCACATAAAGAATCAACGATTAGGCTTACCTTTTCTACAGTATGGTTACCATGCAATTCGATCCATTCATCATCTTATATCTCATCAAGGTTTGAAGTACAAAAATAGTGTCTACTTCAAAGTATTGACCTTGACATGTTTATATTTGGTTGTCGAATCTACAACTATATAAAATCGGATTTGAGCATCAACTCGATTCCACTGTGGCCACAAATTTGCAGTTGTAGTTCTTAACCAAATATCTCACCGAGATAAGATCTCTTGTAACCAAGAGTGATGAATCTTTTGTTGATCCACCATAGTCATAGTGTACTTCTCGATGTAACCAATCACCACCGTTCTGGTAATCTCGAAGAGAAACAACGTTAGGCTAGTGTCAAATCACATCGATATTTACACATGATGCTTTAGTGATCTCAAGTCAAATGATCACATGCACCATCATCCATAAGATGATATATTCCATAGACACTAGGTTTACCATCTTGTATGAAATCCTTTGATGGATCAACCTAGTGGACTTGCACAAGCAAGCACCAATGCGTTGCACCAGCTTGATGCCCACAACCTTGACATGCGAGACCTGTCACTACCTTTCAATAGGGTCATTCAACGCGATGATAGTCTTTCCGTATAATCTATGTCCAAGGTCAAATTTATACTATGACTACGAATAGTTTTAAAATGGCCACCATATGTGCTCATAGGGTTCTCACAATTAAGATTTATAATACTTAATTCCCTCATCACAGGTTTCAACCTTTCTAAGAACATATACTATTTTCTTTATATGCAATAAATAGATGTTATAGTATAGATACTTGTAAATAAGCAATGCCTTTATTCATTATAAATAATGTTTACAAGAGACAATTTATTAGCCCTAGTACACTACTCTAGCACCTATCACTGTGATCAATCATCAATAAGGAATGTAGGTCAATGCTACGAACTTCACTGATTGGTATTGAAATCTAAGGATTCTATTAAAGTAAAAAAAAGAAGTTGTACATCATCAATGAACCTATTATGGAAGCGCCTGAACTTGAGGCTACTTAGGAAGTAAGAGATTCTTATCAAAAGTATATGGATGACACCAACATTGTTCAATGTATCATAATGGCATCATTGACACCTGATCTGCAAGAGCAACATGAGAATTTGGATGCTAGTTCTATCATCACAAATCTCAAGGAACTCTTCTAGAAGCATGCAAAACATGAGTGATACGAGGTGTCAAAGGCATTGTATAAATGTCGAATGGTTGAGGGAGCCTTAGTTGGCCCACATGTAGTCAAGATGATTGGCTACATTCAATGAACTTGAGACTTTGGGATTCATCATGGATGCAAAACTGCCTATGGATCTTAATCTCTAATCCTTGCCTAGTTCATTCTCCCAATTCATATTAAACTTTAATATGAATTCTATGGAGAAGATGATAATCCGAGGATTATACTAGTTTATTTAAGCTTTTAGGCCAGATTTTAGATACTTCTTAGTTCATTTATGCCTGAATCGCTACTTAATTCCTTACATTTCGTGTTTCAGGTTAAAATGGACATTTTGACCGAATAAAGACAGCTTTGGAGTTTCTAGACTTAGAAGCAAGCGGATCTCAGAAGTTGGGAGAGTTCTAAAGCAGAGTCAAGCACGATGAAGCTTGTTCCCAAGGGAGAGCACTGAAGATCGAAGATTCAAGCAAAGAAGCAAGCGGAGGGCAATTCTGTAATTTTAGAATTCTTCAGGAAGCTTCACCGTGGTGAAGGTTGTTCTTCGCTGCAGCGAAATGAGCCAGTCACGCACCAGATTCAACTTCATTTGTCGCTGCGGCGAAGTCTGCATTTTCCAGTTTTTGTAAAACGCACAGTTTTACTTTTTAGTGTTTTCTGAGGATTTTGGGCGAGGTTGTAACAACTACTGAAAACTAGTACAATGCATGCATAATAACAATATAAAATTGGGCCCAAAACTTTCTTTTACATTATAAGTCATATGCCTTTTATACACAAAGAGTATTGTTTACAAAAATTCGTTTTAAAAGACAAAACAGGGGAAACAGTGTAGCTATTGCTCTTCGCTTGCCGACGCCCCTCCGGCTGCATCAACACCTAGATCCTGCATCCACAAAGGAAAATAACGGGGTGAGCACAAAATAATGCTCAGTAAGTAAAACCCTCTATATGTCTGTCCCCGTATGAATAACTCTTAATTCTTTCCTTATACTATTTCTGATTCTATTTCTGTTTCTACTAACATCATGGCCTCATCTTACCGGAGGTACGGCCGGATGGCGTTCACACAGCACCATCTCACTCTCCATGACTATCGGGTGGAATTCACACAGTACCAACCCGTTCTCAGTGACTACCGAGTGGGGATCACAAAGCACCAACTCGATTTTCCTAACTATCGGGTGGAGACCACCTAGCACCTACCCGTTTCTCATGACTTTTGGGTAACGATCACCAAGCATTAACCCGTCTCTAGTCACTGTCGGGTGATGGTACAACGCATCAACCTACTTATCTATTAACTAACGAGTGGTGGTCAAAAGCATCCATCGGTCTTAAACTCATCGGGTGACGATCACAAAGCATCGACCCATCTCTAAGGGCTTTCGGTGGTGATCACAAAGCACCCATCCGATTCCCATAACTGTTGGGTGATGATCACAAAGCATCAACCCATCTCTTCTACTCTTCTAATTCACTCTATTCTAGCATTTTCATTTTCTTACCCTTAGAGTAGGTAATCCACCAAGTTCTCACTCATAGAGTAATTGCATACACAAAGTTTCCTACTCTTCTTAGGTCACTTCTCAATGCACAATTAGTGCCTATGGATGGTTCACTCCACTAATGCACTTATGAAATGCCAACATGCAATGTTGCAAGAATTAAGGTTCACTAATCATACTCAAACCTCTATTAGGCATTTCATCAAACAACTCAAGTGCACTATAAAACTCTACTATAGCAATGATTCTAAAACTTTTTCTAACCATCCAAAATGGGAAAAACCCTCACATAGCCACAAAACCTGTTAAATAAAAACACTTCCAAAAAGGGATCCACAACACCCCTTCAATTCCATCTAAACTACCTTTCAACCCACAACTCATTTCTCATATTTGAAAGGTATAAACAATCACAAGGCATAGAAATCTCTATTTAAACCTCCATACAGGCATATCACATGTATATCACATACATACATCATTTCTATCAAAACCCTAATCAAGAAAATTCTTAAATCTCAACTTGGGTTGGGATTTACTTACCTTGTTATGGAGAGACTTCACCTACTCTTCCTTTCACTTGGTTTGCTTGATTTTCCTCTACTCTTAAACAAAGAACAAAAACCCTCAAACTCCATATAAAACTAAAACTCACAAGTTTCACAACTAAAGTAAGAATCCTTACCTTAGGAAGCCTTAGGTTGATTTTCTACCCCAAATCACTTCAAAAACCCCTTGGAACTCCTTGATCAAAGAAAGAGAAGTTGGGAGGAACAAGAATGGAGAGTTGCGTTTTTGAGAAGAAGAATGAGAGGTTTGCTAACTCTTAATCCTTTTAATGAATTTATACCAAAGCATTCCCATTTTGCCCTTACTCTTC